CGAGATGTTAATACGATGAACGCTCGAAAGCTGGGCAGAAGGAAACGCGCGACGTGGACAAGCAACAACAACTGAACTGCTTATCACTACTATATTTTTCGATCACTGAGTAGGCCGCGAACAAGATCTCATTACAAATATGGAGTGGAACGAGTCCTAGTCTCAGTCCTTTTAGGAAATTGAGAAGTGATTTTCGGTAGCGACGTGTTTAGTTAACCATGCAACGAACAAATTGAACTTTGGATTATTGGCTTCTTGAATTCCTTAAGCCATTTTTGAATGATATAGTCTGATAGATATGCGAAAAATGCCGAAAGTTTTTTCTGATCCCATATATGCGCTTTTTAGCCCAATTTTCAAGGAACGAGTGGCTCCACTATTCAGGCTCATGCTAGTGTATCCAATACATCAGGTAAGAAGTTTCCATTGAAATGTGCGATTCAGAATTTTACGTGATAGATGCTTTCAAAAATGCAGTTGCTAGAGGAAGCCATACGTCACGGTCAGTTAAAACACACAATACAAGGAGCAGACAGGATGCTGTGCATGAGGAAGACTCGTCACCTCCACCGTCCAATCATAGGGTGCGTCACTTTCTATCTAAACATGATGGGGTGTGCTACATAATCTTCACACTTTTTTCAGGTTACCCGTAGCCCAGGACCTATGGCATTGGTAGGTCTTTTTCTGTAAGCTGTAAGCCTCACCAGCAGTCTAGCTTCCGTGACTGTCTTTTGTAAAATGTATTGATAGTTCGTTTCAGAACTGGATATTGCGAAAAAAGTAGAGATTTTTTCCTAGCATGATACGAGTTCATTCTCAATTGATTTTTTGCAGCCGAGGTCTTTAAAATTAACCTTTTCAGCCCGGCTCTTGTACTCCCAAAGATACCTCCCATGTTGCTGCTTCCGGATTCACACCCGGTCACGCTTCCGTTTCTGGCGGACGGACACCGGCTCATCACTCTGCGACACCCTACGGATCTCGGACACCAAGTTATGGTTCCTACGCAGGGAATTTTCCAAAGTACTGTAATGGTTCACCATCACACGGCTCCGAAGACCGCAGTCAAACACCATCTCAATGGAATCAAAACGCTCGTTACGATCTTAGACCACGAACGCCTAGTCAAGGAAATCGGACTCCCTATTACGAAGGGGGTAGTCGAACGCCGGTTCAAGGCAATCGGACTCCCTATTACGAAGGGGGTAGTCGAACACCTCCTCATGGAAGTCGGACCCCGTATTACAATTCGGGTAACCGGACGCCTGGTCAAGAAAACCCTACTCCATACTACAATTCTGGCATTCGAACGCCAGCTCAAGGTGGACAGACTCCTTACTACAATTCTTGTGGTCGAACTCTTGCTCATGAAAACGAAGCACCACATTGCGATCCCGCATTCCGGACTGCAAGACATGGTGGGCAAACACCGTATTACAACACTAGATCCCACTCATCAGGTCAAACACCGTGCCATGATTCTGAAGTAAATAGAAGCGGTGCGTGCACGCCGCGATATGGATCTCGCACACCAGAGCCATACGCTTCATCTCCACCTCCTCCTTCTCGAGGTCAACAAGATGGTTCTGATGATCGTTCGAGGAATCGTTATCGAAATGTAAGTGTTAACTTCTTATTCTTTAACGGCATCGCTTTTTGCGTATTTACTCAAGAATTGCCTTATAGGTTGTAAGGCTTGGGAATAAGTATGGTTGGAGTTTCTACCCTTTTTGATTAAGTGTAAGCTAAGCTAAGCATAAGCAGTAGTGTAAGCATGCCCAGAAAATCATTCCTAGGTGAGCTTGCATCAAGCGGTGTAGGACACCGCTCTAGGGAGGGATCGTTCACTGAGTTATTCTTTTTGGTAGCTTTGATGCTTTCCATAAGCGTAGACTTCCCTCATTCAGAATCCCTCTTTGTATCTGTCGAAAAGTCCGAATTCTGATTTCGTGGTAGAGTTACTACCGGTTTCCTTTCTCGACTAACTTCCTCAAAAAAACATTGGGAGTTGAACAGAAGTGAAAACCTATCAGTTTTTTTTTTTGAAACAGTCTTGGTTTTTTGAAACTCTTCATGGTAAGATCTACGGTCTTTAAAGTCTCGAATGGTGAACACCCAGAATGCGGCCGCTTGCGGGATTTGGTGCTGGATTTGCTGTGAAAGTAGGTTCTTGTGCTCTGCAGGAACGAAATTACATAGAGAGCATGCCCATTCCCATTTCTTTCAAGCGTCTCACTTTTCTGAAATGGATGTTTTAGTATAGTCTAAATCTTGCAAAGAAAGTCTTTGGCGTAATTCCGTTACTACTCAATTTTCGTGTGTTCGTGAGTGACAACTAATCGACAACGTGATGCTTCAGACTGCTCCATCATCTCACTCCCACGGGGACAATGGCCGTTCAGGTATATTTTCTATATTTAACGGTGAAATTCAATCTCCGTGAGCAATTTCTCAATGTTTGGTAAAGTGGTGCAGAGTCAAGTGGGGTCCTATGCGTCCTATCGTACCCGTGGTCTGGGGGTTGGAGCGCGGGCTTCCTCTAAAGTCGGTCACTTGGTAACAGGCTAATCCATTCGGCAAATGTTTTGACTTCTATATTAGCTGGTCACCACAAGCCAAGGCGCAAGCCTCATTATGCGTCCAGTATTCCACTTCTGTTCTAATTGAAAATCGAGTTCGGGGCTTATCCCAAAATGGGATTGATCAGCACCAAAAGCCTGAAGGCATGATTGATAGAAGACCCTCGAAGGTCGTGTGAGTTAGCATTGTCATCGTTCGTTTCAGTTCTCTCTCCCACGTTAACCAGTGAAAAGTTTTGGTGCATAAGTGAGCAAGTGGGGCCTCGTTTCCGAATTCCTTTGACGGGACTAATGTTCCTTTCTTTCTCATGAATGCACACCTTTGAAATTAAGGGTATGCTGGACATACACCAATGAGGTCACCTTCTCAATATGAAGATGGAACGTGTCGAACTCCTCGCCAGGAATCCGATGAGGAGGAAGATCTGTAAGAATATGGCATGACAACTTGCTAATGTCAATTTTTCATGGGATTATCGTGTCATTCAATTTGCAGACCTGCCTATAGGCGTGGTCAAGATGATCCTGTGCGACAACCGAAGTCAAGAGCAGGCTATCAGTCTGGGTAAGAATTTCGATGGATTAATTTGCGATGAACTTTTTTCTATTGCTCGGTCGCGTTTTCTAGTGGTCAGGAAAATATTAATCCACCGTCCAGCCAAGGTCTCCCTCCGAATAATAGCGGATTCGTCTCTACGACGCAGTATCCTACCAATTTTTCTGGAATACCACCAAATCAAGCAACTCCCCAGTGGTCATATGCCTTCCCACCACCTCCCTTCCCAGATCAGCTCGGTACAGTCGCTTTTTTTAATGGTTGCTTCAAGTTTAATAGCTTCATGTTCAAGAAGGAGTGGTTGTTCTTGTTTTCTTTTCAGGAATGTATCCGATGAACTGGGCGACGCCTATTCCTGTACACCCTTTACCGAATTTCGGAGCACCGTTAATTCCACCTCCACCACCTAACCTTATAGTACCACCACCACCACCACCGCCAGTATTGCCCAGTGAAATATCGCCGCCTGCGAACATGTCGGGCCAAGCAAGTGGCCCAACTGCGTCGAACTCACAAGCTCGTTCTGCAAATTCCAGGAAATCGTCCTGTTCCACGACACCAAAATGTTCTAGTGCTCCAAAGCCTCCTGAACGCGTCGGCGGCTCGAAATTCCTTGATTCGGTTCCGCCTGTCCCGGTATGGTTCCCTTTATTTATTCGAGTTAATTAAGTCAGTATGACAGAAAAATAGGATCTAATAGTTCTAACTACAGGTAAGTCCCTTAACAGGAGTGAGGTTTCGGACTTTTTCGAGCTAGAAAATAGTTGGAATCAGGCCATGAACTACGTTAAATATGTGGTCACTCCCAATCCTAGACCTATGAGTCTGTCTGCCCCATCAAATGATTACAAGAAAGGGCAACGGTTATTTCTACGATTCCATTCAAGGGCTCACAGCAAAAATTTTACCCCAATTTTTTAAGTAAAGCCCTGAATAAGCAATGGATATGTCCAACGCCTCAATTGGAACCTCGAATCTAATCCAAGGGCGCGAGGTTCTGATTGAAGTACTTAACGTTTCCATTCTGCGGATACTCGTGTAGGCGGCAGGTTTCCGTTCCGTTTTAGAGCTCTGTAGACCTTTTTGCATTATCAGTATCGTTTGTATCTTATAAGAAAGAAAATTCATAAAAATATCACTACATTGTTCCAGAATTGTGCTTTACAGAAGGCGAATGCGAATCCAACGTCGAAACGTTCTCATCAGAGGAAGTGACGTTATGACCATGCTGTCGGTTGCGGTTCCGATTTGTTATTAATATAGTTGTTATCTCAGATCATTATTGTTAATACCTTAATACTCATTGATCTCTATTTTAGGTGTTCTCATAGTTCGCATGCTCATATTTCATGCAGGTTATTTTGTTTTTCCATTTACTTTGTGCCATGTTACATGAAGTGTTCATCTAGAATCATACTTACTCAATTACCGATCTTCGAAGTTATTACAATAAAAAATGAGAAGTGTAGAAGAGGGAAGAGCCTGGTGGATCAGTGCCCAAATGTTTTATTCTAGTTCGAACTAAGGCTGTTCAGTAGACAACCAGGCAAATTAGGTGTTAATTCTTGGTCGAGTACCCCGTGTATCGAGTGCTGATGTGGAAGCTTTTAGCGTCTACGCCAGCATAGCATTTCCTCCAAGGTATGTTACTGACAAACGTTTTCTAGCTTGCTCGCACTGTCAGCTTCTTCCGTCATCGTCTAACTAGTCAAACTTTTATATTTTCAAGGTTTCGTTGGTGAATCGTTGCAAGCCGAAAAAACAGACAAAGCGGCGATTTACTATCACTCAATGCAGCCAAGTCATATGGAAGTTCCTCGAGTGACGGAAGGAAAACGAGTGTTTGCTGCATGGCAGAGGCCTTGATAAAGGAGCGAACTGCATTTCATTTCCGTATCAGCGAAAATCAGGTGGGCCGGACACGTTATGCGATATAGTGATGTCCGTTGGACCAGGGCGTTTACTGACTGGAGCCATCAAGACATCAAACGAGCTCCAGGGCGGCCTCCAACGAGATGGTCAGACTTCTTCACGAAAGCTCTGAACGAAAGGAATGTTGGACCTCGTGTCCTTGAAGCAAGAACAATCCGTTGGACCACTCGTGACAGGGACGAATGGAGACGTTACTGGTTTCCGCTCTAGGAAGTCGATGATCAACTGGACGACGGGTGGCACGGGTGATCAGCGAAAAAGGGCCAGAATTTGGAAGTTTTACTTCGTGTTCCAGTTATCTGCCTGCTTCGAAGCAGTGCTTGCCGTTAGTTAACTCCGATATTACGGTGAAAATCATACGCAAACACCATTGTAGCACAGTTAATAGTTTAAAGTTCAACTTACAGATTGTAAATCGATAAAATAAAAAAAAACTACATAATTTGTAAATAATTGATCTCTCAAAAACATCATTGGGAGCCTGAGAGGTATTTGGAAACGCCGTCCAGACATATTTTCAATGAGGAATTAAGAGCATTCGCTCTCTCAAAAAATCTATTTTCTCGATTCGCAGGCGCGATCAATCAATATTATTGGTCGCATTGGATTCAGCTCGTGGAGCTGCACTGAGGGAACCTATTTTCCAAAAATTTGAAGCAAAAGTTTTCCGATATTTGTCCAAGAAATCGATACTTTCCGGGCTCGTCGAGCTGCATCTAGGGAACCTTTTTTTTTTTTGAAAAATTTGAAGCAAAAACTCGAAATACAAAGGCCACTCGAGCATCTAGTAAGATGCGTCATGCTTTCGCCATCTGTAAGGTTTTCTTGAAGTTCCTCAGCTCTTGCGTCAGGCTCTCACGTCAATACCTTATGATAATTCATTCAAGTTCAGTATCTAACTTCACTAGCAAAGTCATATGCCTGTCAAAGAAAAATAAATGAATAATAAAACCGAGATACCCAATAAATGAAAGGATAATACTAGCCATTTCATCATTTTTGCTTGAACTGAAGGCTTACTGTGAAGTTCAGAAAAGCCTTTGATTGCCTATCGAGAAATGAACGTACACTTGAACTTTGTCTCTACCAACAAGTATTTTAGTCTTAACGAAGAGTACTGAAGACAGCAATTTCAGATAGTGAAGGTAAGATGTAAAAAATATGTATAACTTCGTAGAACTTGTGATGAAGTATTGGTCGACTCTGAAGTGTGAATACTTGGGAACTAAAAGACGATTGCTTACTGAATGCTATGTAAACAAGGTGTCCTTTTCGTGTTTTGTAGTCATTTGACGGTGTGACGATCATTCGTCAATCGGTTTGCGCATAATATGTTCTGTGGNGGAAGAAGATCGAAAATACCACCGCACACTGCTGAACAACTTAGCAGATAGCACTTCAATCTATTGAGCTTTCGATCGAAAATTATTTAGAAAAAACGATCCGTTTAGCATACACCTCAGGTAGCGGATTTATCACCATTTATCATTATGTTACACAAAAAAATACTTAGTCGTTCTGAGTTTTTCTCCTTTCCCATACTTTTCCTACTGGCACTGAGCCACCTCACTGAGAAGACCTCGGCACACAAGCTCATAGCAATAGATGATTAGGTATCACTAAACCTGAGTAAATTTCTTCTTGGTAGGAGAGCCATTGATTGCCTAGTTATGGCGTTTTATCACTAATTACTAATTACTGTGTATCATCGAAAACACTTAGTACTAACAAGTACATAAATGTAGACTTATACTAAACTTCTTAGCCATAATTAGGCATCTAGTTAGTAGCAATTTTAATCCGCAGATTTTTCCCTATGTATGACTGCGTATCAGTAAAGACAAGGTTTTTTAGACTATGGTTGCACAAAAGAAGTACCAAAGATTCATTTTAAAAAGAAGATATACCATCATCAACACACATCATTTAGTATCATTCTAGATATCTAATNGGCTATCAAGGCGCACGAGTTTATTATCATTTCTCATAAGGTATAACCAAAAATCAAATTCTCCTTAGCACAATTTAAGGCTAGCGATACACAAGTCTGTGAACACAGATCCCCTTTAGTACGTTCTCACAGTAGCAATGAGCAGCTTGCCTTGTGAATTGCCACCTAATAGCAATTACTATTTTCTACCCGTCCACAATTATGGGCAAAATACCGATAGCCAGAGAACCGACACGCTTCTTCGCAAGACCCATCATTTCTGCTTGAATTGCAAACAATAGGGACAACGATCACTATCAAGATCGTCTGCTCTGCGTTTACTGTCATGCCTGACCATCCTGCAGTGCATCATCCTCCATCGAGGGACTTTCACGTTCGGTTCGGCAGGGCGGAATGCGATACACAGTGTTCAAAGGAGAAGACTCATTAAATTTCAATGACAAGAAATGAGAGAGGTGCAGGTTGTCGCGTGGGCGGTCGGGGTGGAAGCCCAGAGGCAGAGGATAAAAAAAAGTTGTGCAAAAAGCTAAATGTTGGTAGGAAGGCGGAAAAAGGAATTTCTAAGTAAAGCAGCAATCCGGCAGCAAGTGATTACTCAAACTCAAAGAGGAACAAGCAGCAGATCAAACCGGGGAAAAGCTGCGCAACACGACTTTGATATCATTCTCAGGATCCTCTCACCAAGAGGTATTTTGGATAGGTGATCAACAAGAGTTACGGCACGTATATTATAAGTTCAGGGGACGGGTCTTGGCGTAACTTGTTGCCTGCCTATACGAAGTTTCGTTTAGAATCCAGTGAAAATAAGTGGGAGAGGAGAGGCAGATTGGGAGAGGCTGAGTTATGGGAGTGATTACACGTTTGGTGAATCAACAAATGGACTACCGTCTGGTAGTCCAGTGATGAATCCAAAAAGATCATTATTTTACTTCTCTCTATGTCTTTTCACCAAAAAATTCCGACACCTGAGCAACGGAAAATGCGATAGACATGGAGATAAAGTGTCAAGGAAAGTCTAGCAGATGGTTGGAGCAAGCGACGTGGCCGAACTCGGGTGGCGTCTGCTAGACTATACCCTGCACTTAACCATCTTCGAACAAATAGTATTTCCCGATTGCGTTGCAATTTTCCATCTGTCAGCCCTTGGAAGCTTCAAAATGTATAGAGGAGAAGAGATAGCTCTCAAGAAGGAAATTACACTTCTGCTCTTGAACAAAGATGCGAAAATTGGGTAGGGGGAGATTGAAGGCTTTCGGTTTTCAATGAAAGCTTCAGTGGAACAATGGCTTTCATACAAGCTGCCTGTTTATGTTAACCTTCGGTGCTTTTTGAGGATTCTGACGATGGTTCGGTCCTTTCGATGAACACATTTTTGACAGAATGGTGAAATGTTCAACATCTGCTCGTTACCGACATCGCGTTATGATCTGATCGATCTACTACAATCAGGGCGGTTCAATATCTGGTCATGCCCCCCTCACTCTTTCTCAACAACTTTTACTGTCTGTAAACTCTTACTAAATGTTTTTTACGGTGGTACAAACAGCACGGGATACGGTACAGAGCTAGTCCGATGACCGGCGGGCACTTCGGATTGCTGAGCCGAACCCACCCTCCCTCCAAAGGAGGGGTGTGGGTTCGGCTCATAAAAGCCGAAGTGCCCGCCGGTCATCGGACGCGCCTACTTCACAAGACGGGTATTGGTAAATCTGGTTAGCCGAAAGGATCGCTTTCGAGGTGTGGCTCGAGAGCGTAGCGGTTAAGCAGCTTGCCTTACTCGTGAAAGGTGAAGTGTTCGGATATCCGGCAGTGGTCAAAGGATTGATGTGGGACATTTCGCTGATTTTGAAGTCGAAGATGTTG